AAGTTGATCAAACCCGGACCGGTGGACTTTTCGATGGTTGAACAAGCAAAATAACACTGTAATAAGCGTCAGCAAGGTCAGAATTGAAGAATTGGGTGGGATTTAGATAGGCTCGAGACCGAAATCGATGTTGCTCTTGAAGATATGCCTTCGGATTTGACGTTCAACAGTGGAGTTGAAGTAACCATGGCGGCAGCGAACTGGATTGTATTGAAACGACCTATGCAAGTGAAGAGAATATTGAGTTAGTGAATCCCGAAGCGGAGCAAGGAAGAATGGCAAAAGAAATGCTAGAGTCCAACTGAACGAGCACAAGTAGAACTTCGCAGAATGGTGCACAACTGGATCCAAATCTGAGTTCCGCGGGGCATACTTCATCAATAGGGCCATGAATGTGGGAACTATCAGCAATAGAGGTACATGAGGTGGGACACGAACCTGGTGGAAGTTCCATCGACGGTGGGAGACCGTGATCAATCGAAGGAGGTGCTGGCGCCGGAGATTGGGAAAGTTTAAATTCGTGGAACCGGCATTCCTAAGCGTTTCTACTGGAAGTCAATGGTGCCGATAGACAAGGATGGACTGTTCCTGCCATCATACTACAGTCGTGATCCTTGTGCACATTGGGCGCTTGTTCCCGTTCATTCCTCCGCGCAAGCTCACCTCATATATTCTGGCGTCTTCGATTTTCCACTTCACTCAACTTTTGAATGACAATTCGAATGACGCGTAAGACGACATTGGAGCGCCTAACGTTTTGGACCATTTATTCTGGCGTCTTCGATCTGCCACTTCACTCAAATTTCATTAAACTGTGCAAATCATCATGAGATCGATGGAGGCTAATGCTAGCATTTTATTTGGAGCGATTCGGCCCAGAAATGACCGAGAAACATATGGGACATTACTTTTGTCGATATAGTGTAGGAGCCATAGCTGAAATGTAATCACGCAGCGAACAATTCTGATTGTTTCCTGGGCGGACGGCTGGCCGTCGTCTCTATTTCCATCGGGCGGCTATCATCACCAAGGCTTTTAGTACACTGCATCTGTATGTCAGCGCTATGTCAGCGGGGCCATATGAATGCTCCTCACACTGCTCGTTAATTTCACGCCCTGCTGAGGGTCAATGTCAACCTGAACAGTCGAAAAATCAGATGGATATACAAGACTTGTCGAAAAAGCTCGAAGAAGACGTAGATGGACGTGGACTCACCGTGTGGTAGAATCTATATTACCGGTGTAAATGGAGGGAATGGTTAGGGTGGCGAGACCCCCAGCGGACGACACGCCGCCACTGGCCATGGACGCAGACTTGCCCGACCTCCGGACGTTAAGATTCGCGAGCTAAGGGAGGGTGAACTGCGTCCCCGCTGATCCGGACACAAAACCAACGCACCATAGTGAGCACGTACACACGCCCAAGCGTGTACACGATACTTGTGGGGACTGTCAAGCGCAGATGGGTTTAATGCGCAACATCAAACGAACTCAAAAGACGGACTAGTGGTCTCCTCCTTCAACAGAAGTCTAAAATTGGCAGCCATGGTTCGGTCTTGTGAGTTAATGACGAATCTCAGCAGCGTATGGGACCTACGTAATGACAGTCGCCACGGCAAGCGTGGCCGTCGCTGTCCCGGTCCGGATCGTCAACGCCACCAGCCGGTCCAGGACACTGTTAAGTGTCATGGCGACGATTGTGAGCCATACGTTTCTCCGCAACCAGCGTCACGGTATTCCGCACCTCCGTGTGTCCACCAAAGTAGGCCTGGCCTTCCTTAACTCCCAAAGCAGGGCCGCGGCGATGCTGAGGTCCACAAAAGCTTCAGTCACCAGCCAGATCCTGATAAATCGAAGGGGAATGAATACATAAACAGCGGAGCTTCATGGCCATGGCCACAGTGAGGCACGCACATTCCCGGAATCCTGATCTTCTCGCGCTCCTTGAATGCGGGGAACTTCGCGACTATCACGCCACATGCGAATGCGCCTCCGAACTGTGTACGGCAGACAGTGGGTACGACGCAGTGCGCAAGAAGACAAACGCCTGCGTACTGCGACAATGCTCAAGAAGGAATTCAAAAGAGTGACAAGGATGTTTCTTGTGCTAGATCAATATCCTTGAGAGAGGGTGGGCGGTAGAAAGAATGAACACACACAACCACCAGTATCGGACGACTAGAAAGCTCTGGACCAGGACAGAAATCACGGCGGTGGTGAAGATGAGTAGCAGGATGGGCTGGAATGTTACAATTATTCCACGCCTAAGGTTCATGCTGCTTGACGTACCCAATGCTGGTCGGCAAGGTACCCGGGATCGCCTGCATGTAAATCGTAGGCAGTCACTCAGGCCGTTGATAAATCTGAGACATACTAGCATGAGTTATTGTGTACTGTTAAGGCGCTCAGCCTGAGCTTGTGAAGTGCAGAATGTGAGCGCTTACGAGATATACGCAGGCATAGTCGCCCACTGTGGAAACAGTGTCAAGTAAGACGACGACCGATACAAGCGTCTGTTAAAAAAAGGAGTCCGGGAGAAACTGGGTTCAAGGCAGAAGGAAATACCTTCAACTTCCAATCGTCGTGCTTGAAATGTCTAAAGTAGTACCTGGCCTGAATGAGTTCGGCCATATACAGAAACTGGGCCAAACTTGAGGTCGTGCTCGAGACACGTAGAATACAATCCAGTGCTCACGGAGTTTGCCCAGGTCGCAACGAGAAGTGCCCTGCAAGTCAAAATGAAACTATCAAACTAGAAAGCTGAGAAGGTTGTACCCGGTGGTGGTGTCAAGGTCGGGGAGAGACTCGGACATTGCGTGATCTCGAGAGGGATGAAGTAACCATTCTTCCACTGAGCAGATTTAAGTACGGCCTGTCAGTTTTTGACAGCTCCTCCCAAGGGTCACCGAAACCTGAGTTCCGGATATGGTTAGACTGGTCCCCAGGGTCCTTTACTGGCTCCTTTCGGCGGAGCCCTACATACTTCCTGTTCTTTCACCTCCTTGCCAACTCTGTGCAACTTATACTGGGGCATGCACTTTGGAAATCATATGCCATACCTCAGAAATATAAATATGTAATTTTCGGCGCCAGTGAGACAACATGACGGGCCTTATTCATCCGCCAAATCATGCTGAGGACCTGTACAAATAACGGTGGCCATTGACATTGAAGGTAAGGGCTCTACACAACGCCTTTCTAAAGTCTTAATCCAGTCCTCCACGCCTCGAACGCGTCAAACGCGCCAAACGATGCGTCTGGTCACCCTATGTGACAATCACCCGGTGAGCTGCGCGCAATAGCCGAGTGGCACGCATCCACATTAGGGAAGGCGGATCACGGGCCGACAGGGTGGTGGTGACTCGCACACTGGAAATTAGGATGATTCAGAGCATCTCAAAATGTTTCTGAAATATATAGTTTCAGTGGAGGATTCGTCACTGACTAAACTGTGCCGGAAACTAATGGTTTCAGGCACCATTTCAGCCGCAGCCCCGAAACAATAAGTTTCAGGATCAGTATCGGTGCTTCTTTCACCGGCTTTTACCGATTTCGGGCGGCGCGATGCTGATCCTGAAGCTAAATTATTTCGGGAACGTGGCGGAAATGGTGTCTGACACTATTAGTTTCGGGCACAGTTTAGTCATTGAGCATTCTTCCACTTAAACTATATATTTCAGAAACGTCTTGAGACGCTCTGAACCGTCCCAATTTCCAGTGTGTCGTTCACTTTCCGCTCAACGTGACCTCCAAGTTAGGCATTTTGATCGCGGCACTTCGGCAAGCGATAGACCATGCCGAAATCAAAGCAACCGTGTTCCACACCGCCACCGTCCCCGCTTCTTCCCTCTATTCCGACCCTCTCATCGAGGACATCCCTGCCTCGTCACTATTTATTACACACATTCCTGATGCTCCTCGTCCAGCATTGAATCCAGAAGTCCACTGAACGCAACATCACATAGTGCTCATAATTCGACCGGATGAATGGCTGCCTCTCAAGTTTAACGGCTCGGAGTAGTGCCTGAAAAGACGAAAAGAGGACGCGTAGTGTCTATGTGGCCGCTAGGAGTCGAACCGATATGTCAACCGCTTGGCCAAGATGTAATGCTGGCAGCTGACCCCCAAAGGCATGGGACACGTAGTGATGACTTTTTGGCTTCCTTCCATCACCCAAATATGAGATGCGTGTCGCTTACATTCTAAGTAGGGAAGCTTTCGGTGATCAATGGAGATCACCCGCACAAACTAATACAGCAGGAATGACGATCAGTGGGCAGAGGGGGCTCGATTTCCCCCGAGGGTCATGGAGCCGACGAGGTCCTTTTTTCGGTCCTTGCTCGTATATAACCATCTTATTTACTGGGGGTGTGAGTAAAGTAGAGAACACTCTCGTTGATCAATGGAGATCACCTACGTTGATTATTGGACCGGTCACACCGGAATCAGTGGGCAGTGGGGGTTCGACTCCCCCCGAAGGCATAGTTGACTACTGCTTGTCCAATCTTTTTTCCCTTATGTACATTAATCATAATGGACAGTACCTCGATTGCGCACCGGGAAGCTCGATGGATAGGTATATATAAGGGCTGCGGGCGTGTTCAATTCTGTTTTCTCCCCCTTTAGTTCTACCTTATCTTCCCCTGTTGCATTTTGCCTGGTGAAAATTGAGGAGAAAAAGCCCTCGTTGACGATAGGTCACCCAACTGATTGGCACATTTTCAGCAGGGACTAGGTTCGATTTCCCCAGGGCATCGGAGCGAATAACACAATTTTGTTTGCTTGTATCACTCAAATGCATCCTATTTATTTCAGCTGCATTGTAGGTAGGGAAAGCCCCCGATGATCATTGGAGATCACCCACACCAATTGGCGGACTTGAGAACGCTAGTGGGCGGAGGGGGTTCGAATCCTCCCGAGGGCACTTCCGGAAACCTCCCGTTTTTTCTTCCTGATTTCCTGAGTCCGCGCCATTAGCTCAAATTGCATTGTAGGTAGAAGCCCTCGTTGATCAGTGGAGATCACCCACGCCAATTGGAACTTGTTGACGCTAGTGGGCGGAGGGGGTTCGACTCCCCCCGACGGCATGGTCGATGACGCTTGTCCAATGTTTTTCCCCTACATACACCAATGGACAGTACCTCGATTGCGCACCCTGAAGCTTGACGGATAGGTGTAAGGGCTGCGGGCGTGTTCAATTTTACTCGAGACTTATCTTCGCCTAGTCAGGGCAGAGGAAGCCCTCCTTGATCAATGGCGAACACTCACACACTCAAATCCAACCCATTCATTTTAGTTGCATTCTAGGCAGAGAACGCCCTCGTTGATCAATGGAGATCACCGACGCTCACTACATGAGATTTAGACGTGTACGGTGGGTAGAGGGGGTTCGAATCCCCCAGAGGGTGTCGAGGTCGATTAATCAATTTTTTCTTTCTTTTCCTGGGATGGTAATTTGGTTCCGCTGGCGCCTGGAGACGAATGGAGCCTCGAATTAGCCTCGAATGAATTAACGCAGGTTGCATCGTGTTCGACGGCAACTTAGGTTGCCGGTGGCGGTGCTAGCGCTGGTGTCAAACCTTTTCTTTCCTGAGCTCCGCATAATTCAACCACACGCGAATTCAAGCATGGAGTCGAGTGGTTGCCAGCGACGCGCGCAATTCCCGCCGTGGAATGAAATTATGTAGCCAGAAACGGGCATTCGTCGCCGCGGGTGATTCGCCGCGGCAATGATCCTGATGGGGATCCCACCCCGCCGCCAGCGCCTTCTTCTACCGACACCCACTCCGCCAGCCCGCCTGCGCCCCATGGACACCTCCATCGCGCGTACGCTCCTCCCCATGACCATCGGCCGCTCCTCATCCCCCTCCTACCAGTAGTACCACCGCCGCGCGCTTCTCCTCCGCCCACGCGCCCTCCTCCTCATCGCCGCAGGCGCCCTCACGCTCGTCGCGCTCGCTGTCGTCCTCGGGCCGACGGTGGGGCTGCCTGTGCCCGATAGCTTCGCGGAGTACTACCATGGCCCGCCGCCGCCGCCCCCTCCCTCCGCCGACGCACACACCGACGACTCGGACGCAGCCCTCGCCGCGCTGCACGCTGCTCAGCGCCCCTCCCTCGCCGCCGCACGTGCGCGCTACGCCCTTAAGACATCGCGTCCCCCGCCGCGCAACTTCCACGCCTTCTACGCCGTCGCCCGCGCGCCCGAGCGCGGGTCCCTCGTCACGGCGTGCACGCCGACTTTGCGCCGTTCTGGCAGGTTTCTGGACCCCAGCAGGAAGCGCGGCTCACCCAAAGGGTCTATTGATGTGATTGAGGCACGCTTGCATCAGACGGAGGCGCTGGTGGGCATTCTGTTCGCGGCGGCGGCAGGCGCGGGGGGCGTGTGGAGGGATTTGGCGAGGTGCGACAACTATCTTCCTCTTTGAATGAGCACCCTTCCTCCGCGCACATCGTCGTGGCACCGCCGCATTCGACGCCTGCTTTGCCCTGCGCGTGATGGGCGCCCGCGTCTCAGAGCTGCATGCGCTGCGTACGCGTTCTCGCCCCGGGGTGCGCATGCATCATCGTGCGCCGCCGAGCCCGTGCTCGCTCCCGCGCTGCTCTGTGCATATGCGTACCCGCGGCGCCTCTTTCTCTGCGTCCTGCGCATCATTTCTCTTGTCCTTCTCTTGTCCTTCCTCTTACTCTTACACGCGCGGGATGCATTGCATTCGGCTCATCCACGTACTTCTTACATTTGCATGTACATGTACCACATATCTGTGCATGCTATGCCCATGCCCAATACACCCTCTTCCCCTTCCCTTCCCTTCCGTGCGTGTGTCCGAGTCCCGTCCGAGTGCAAGTCGAGTCGTGCGCGGCGCGAGGATGAAGGTGTACCTGCGCGGCGCCGAGTCTTGCGTGAGTGAGGGTTTGAGGGCTTGAGGTCTAAGTGCGCATCACCTCCGCCGAGCGAGCGAGCGAAGAAATCAATACAGATCCCGATACCGACTCGGAAGCGTGCGAGTTCCTGAAAGTGGACCCACGCCAGGAACGAGGGTAAAGAGAAGCTTGCGCAGAGAGTGTGCTGCGCTTGCACCGAGCTTGAGAGACGGCGCGCGCTGCAAGTCCGAGTCTGCAGCGTCGCGAAGATACTGTAAGGATAAGCGGCGTGAACTTGAGATTGAGTTGACTACAGTGCATCGGAACTCGCATTCAATCGACGCGGGGGAGCCTGGGACTCGTAGGAAAAGTACCAGGAGAACGAGTCTAGGAGGCATCGGAACGCAGTGAGTTGCCTTGTAAGGCACCCGAGTGTTTATTCATCCTTCCCCTCCTTCACAGCATGATGATAGGCAACCCATTCTATGCCAGAATGTCATGAAATATTGCGTCTGTTATGAAACCATTTTCGCGACTTCATTTCTTATTACGTGAGATGAACAGAATGGAACAAGAATGGAAAAAAGCTGGAGAAATTGAAAGACTCCGACAAGGGAAATCACCGAGTCTGCACCGAGAATTGCAAGAAGAGGGAATATACGAGGACCGGTGAGAATCGGAATACAGAAGACAGTTCCAAAGGTTTTCGCAAAAAACATTTACAACAACATAGTGAACAAACTTCAACGAGCTCTACCTGGACCTCTTTCTTAACCTCTTTGTTACGCGGCCAACACCATCCGCGACAAGATGTGCGTGAGGCCCGTCCCTTCACATTCACCCGAATCACGGCTCACACTCGCTCTCTTCCTCAGCGAGAACCCCTCCGTCGGCGTGTCCTGCCCCAGCGTCCCGTCAGTCAACACAATCAATACACCAATGTCGTAACCCGTTAAATCGACTCACGCAATTATCCTGCGACCGGAACGCCCGCATATCGCAAATGGTGGTGTTCTGGCAGCCCGAGGTGGCATCGCACGGGGTGACGGCGCCGCCCCGGCTGATGAAGGTGTTGAACATCTGGAACGCGGTCTCTTTCGCGGCGAAGACCTCAGTGAGGTTGTGCCAGAAAGCAGGCGAAAGCGGTTCGTCGGGTGAGAGCCCGACGAGGGGGCCGTAGGTCTCGCGCGCGCTGTAGTAGAGGCCCCATTGGGCTGTTTTTCAACGGAGGTCAGTGTCGAGGTGGAGGGTAGAGTGAAAGCAAGAGGGCTTACGCCGGATTTGAAAGCTGGGCTCCGAGATGTTGGCTGTATATTACAACTAAGTCTGGAGCCAAGTTTAAAGAGCGAGATCATTGACCGAATATAACGTGGACATCCATGACCTCGAAGGTGCCCGGGTCAATCTCATACATTTTGAAGGCTGAAGGAGGGGGGGATATTCAAGCTCGTAGTGATCCCATTGAGCAACAAGTGGAAACCGTACCTGGATTACCACCTACGCGCGCCGATCAATCAGTAAGTCGATAATCATCCTATGAGCGCGGATATCGCAACAGCAATTCGCTTACTCGTCGGAGTCAACGCCGGTCCCTAAACATAAAACATTTCCATTTCATATATGTTAAATCAACAACCAGGTCTGACGCTCACGATCAGTCCAACACCGACAGCATTCGCCGCCGTCTGTTCGCTCTAATTCGAATAGGCGACCTCGAATTGATCCTGCATAAGGTTATGTGCGTCCCAACGTTAGTGCGAATTCACGTAATAATGATGATGAATAAATGCAAGCAACAGTGAACATACCTTATGACTATGCCCGAAGAACTGCCCCGCGATCGTATTTTTGTAGCGCTGGAGTACTTGGTCGTAGTAGTTCGACTAAAGGCCGGTATCCAAGAATGTAATTCAATTTCGGTCAAACTCGTCGGGAAAACAAAAACGTCGGGAAGGAAAAACGCAACCCACCTGATCAATCAGCGTGTCCTCCTTCCCGAGCGGAATATGCCCGATGATCCACGCTCTGTCGCCCGCGTCCTCGGCGGCTTGGAGGGCGTCAACCACGAATGCGATGATGCCGTTTGGGTCCGGTCTAAAGCACAGTTGTTTATCGACATGTATGCAAACACTGAGGGAGTAGGAGAGACGTACTGGAGCACATCGCTGACGTATAGCCAAGAACTTGAGGAAATCGAATTATAATTAAATTCAGAGGCGGATCGATGGACACGTTCACGCACTTCTGTTTATGCCAATACTGGGTATTCACAGCAATGATGTGCAGGCCCATCCCGGGGACCTTCGCGGAATAAGCGCCGGAGTGATGGTCCACCTCGAATGCGGAGGGCGCGCCGATCCAGCGCTGACATTATATAGGCATTCAGCATAAGAAATTCAGAAGACATTATAAGATAGAAGGAGAGAAGGGAAAAAATATTAGTTGGAGTTCACACACCTCCCACCCAGCACTCTGCGTGTCGAACACGAACTGCGAGTTGTTCGCGGTGTTGCTCGTGGTGCGCGCGAATGCGTTCACCGGCACGGAGTCGCTGTTTCGTTCGTTAGTGCCGGGAACCGTGATAGAACAGAGAACGTACTGGTTACCAAGCGAAGGAAATATTGGCGCGGTAAGCTTCGCGGCCATCTGCGCGTCGAATGCCTTCAGATCCGTCGTCACCTCCCTAAAGAAAAATAAAAATGAAGTGTCATTGACCATTCACGCTGCCGTATGCCCGATGTCACTCACGCCTGATCAACGATCCACGTCGCGCCTTCGACCACTGTGAGATTATTCAAAAATCTCCCAATTCAACTTCCCCCCGAAATAAAAGAGGGAAGACTCACCATCCCCCGTGAAAATCGAGAATCTCGGATTCAGCCTGTCCACCTCCTCCAGTAGGGTGTCAGCCAACGTGATCGTCGAGTCGCAGTGCGAGTCCCCGTTCGGGCCCGCTGGGACGGTGGGCACAGCCGGAGAATCGTCAAAGTCGCGGCAGCAGATGGATTTGGTGCAGTTTGCTTCGGCGCCGACCTGCATCCCGTGAAAGTCAAAATTCGATACAAATAATTACCTCAGAGTCCAAAAAGATAGGCTCGCTGGACGCCGACGAGAAAAAAAAGTGAGAGAGAAATAAACGTACGGTATACATCCGATCAATATGCACGTCGCTCAGATGCGCCACGCGCATCGTCGGGCGGCCGCGCGACTTGAAGACCTTCGGGGG